AAATATTTAATTTCTTTATTTACTGTATAATTTATTTAATAATGACATCATTAAATTAATAATTGTTTAATTTTTAAATAAGTTTTTGATAAAAAAAAAATTAAAATTTTATTTTTACACAAATAATTCGAAGAAAATATTTATTAGTATATATTTAAAATTGTCAAAAATAATAATATAATATTTTTAAAGGGAGTGGATTGATAAACAAACAATGTAGAGTGTCATGTGGACAAGATGGCGGGAAGGGAGTGGAATGGATTCAGCGAAGAAGAAATCAAAAGAATTCAGATGAACGGCGATTGCATTAATGGCAAGTTACGAACACGTTCATTTGATTAGAATCTATTACATAAGATGAAACCGATGTAAAATTTATATTTAACAAATTAAAAGATCTTAAAATTATCAAAACATCACGTGACTTGAATTATGTCAATTTCCATTTAAATTTTCATTTTTATAATGTGATGGAATATATCACATTTTATAAAGGTTATATTCATTTCAAATTTTATTATATTATATATATATATATATTTTTTTTTTTTATAGAGGTTACAAACGCTACAACACAGCCTAAACCAATTAAGACTCAAGTTAGAAAAGGAATATTAAAGAAAACAAAATATATGAGTGAAAATTTACCAGTTAAAGATGACATTACTCCTAAACAGAGACTGTCAAAGCCTAAAGTGGAGTTTGTCGTGGAAAGTGAAGATTCTGGGAAGAATGAGTTAAATAAGCCATCTATAGAAGATTCTGATTTATCTCAGGATAGTAAATCCACAGAAGAAGGATCTGTTCAAAAACCAAATGTGAAACATGTTACAATTCATGAAGAGAAAAATACTTTCAGGTAAGATAAGTTAGATTATTCTAATTTTCTAAAAATTGTATTTTAATTTGTTCGATTTGCAATTTGTCATAATTTGCTATCATTTATGTTATTTCCTAATGAATATTATTTTATATTTTGCATTTGTCATGCATTATTGATACTACGTAATTAATAATTCCATTATTCTGATTGTACTATATGTATTTTAAAAATAAATTGTAAAATGTTGCTTATCACTGATTCTGAGTAATTGTAAATCTTTTTTTATATGACTAATTACATTTGAGTTTATATAACTAACATTTGATTTCTTGTATGTGTTACGGGTTTTGTGTGAAATCTGGATGATAATAAAATTATCTAAGGAATATCAACATTATCCAAGTTAGGTAGATGTGTGTTTGGTAGATGATATAAGTGATTTTTTTTTGTTTGTCTGTAAATATGATATCTGGTCTGTTGTGATCGATTGTTTTATCTGTAATTATAACTTGCATATTTTGTGTGTTGCTTTTTGTGACCACCTGAGATGTGTATTTATGATATGGCTGCTGGGTGTATTTGTATGCAAACTTTGATGTATTGTATTTGGTTATATATGTTGATGTAACTTGTCTGTTTGTCTTAAAAGCTTGCAACTTGATTTGTTGCATAATGTGGAATTTTGTGCATAAATACAAGAAACTACAGAACAAGTGCTGTCTTTAAAAGACAGCACTTGTTTTGTAGTTTCTTGTATTTATGGTGAGGTCTTACATGGCAGTCATGAACAATTTGTTAGGGTGTTTACCATTGAGTTTATGACTTTCTGATGGTATTTGTGCTTTCGTGTACTGTTAGATCCAGGTTGGTGTTGTATAAGTTTGATTTTATGGTATATTGTTTGTTTGCAAGGGTTACTGCTTTCTGTAAGTGTGATGTTTCTTATAGTCTGTAGAAGAACTCTTGCAGTGTCTGTATTTGTTTGCAGTACTGGTTTAAATTATCTATGAGACCTCATCCTCCATCTTTATGAGAAAGAGTTAGCCTTTCTGAGGAAAACTTAGGGTAGGGTAGTGTTTGTTACATTTTGTTAATGTTTGTGTTTTCTTTGAAGTTGTTTCTCAATGTATAATTCATTTAGAATTATACATTGAATATTGTATTCAATGTATAATTCTAAATGAATATGTAAGTACTCAATGTGTTCAATGTGTAATTCTAAATGAATATGTAAGTACTGAATAAATACTTGGATGATTTATGTATTGATTGCTTTAAATCTGTGTTTTGCATTCAACTGTATTGTTAGTATTGCATTTAATCTGATGATGTATTCTTTTGCATGTTTTGGTTCAATTCAGTACAGTAGAGCCTTGATTATTTGACCCCCGATTAACCGCCACCTCGGTTAACTGATCGTCCTAGTCGGCAAATTTCAAATGTCCGCTAGTGATGTGGCGCTACAATATTTGGCTATGTCTCGGCTACTTTAATATTATTTTTACGTGTTTTAGCTGGCAACACTCATTCGACCATGAAAGGGAGCCAGTATTTAAACGAGGCTTAATTTTCTAATTTTTAACGATACAATAGCGACGATTATTATTTTAAAAAAATTTTTGTTAGGCTTAACATCAATGAAAATTCAATGCTTAATAGCGATATACTAATATACTAATTACATGGGATATAATAATATACTACACTAATAATGGATTTTTTCATACTTTTCGATTATCTGACTTTTCAATTATCTGACCAACCCCAGTCCCCAATTGGGTCGGATAATCGAGGCTCTACTGTAGTTGGATTCACCTAGTTTGTACTGATTTAGCAGAACCACTTCCTAAAATATTTATAGTTAAAATTGTATTTGTATGAGTAATATTTGTTTAGGCAATTTATTGCAAATCTTCATTTGTGTAAGACTGCTAACTTTTTACAGTTCAATGAGAGAGGAGTGAAATGAAAGAGAAAAATTAGGCAATAGATCAATAAGTGTGAGTGAGAACTCATCACTACTGTTGCAATTTATTTGTAGCCATCTATCACAATCAAGCATTGATGTTTTCTGGTCAACTGTTGGGTACAAGTGATACAAATACCTGTACTGTACTCTAGGCACAAGTATCTGTACTTCTGAAATCTGGGAAATGCAGGACAATAAATATATTTCTGAGACAATTTTGCATAACAATATTAAGGCATTGATTTCTATTGCTGGGTAGCTCCAGATAAGAGGGTAAGAAGTAACTACACAGCCAACAATCCTTGGATAAAAGCAAAGCAAACTATTAAAGAATATGCTAATCAAAAGGCAATATGAAAATATCTGAATTATAAGTTTTATTGTTACTTTTTATCAGGGATATTTTTATAATCTTTTTGTTATATTAAGAAATATTTTAACCAGTTATTGCATGACATTGATTTGTTCTGATTACTCACACAAAAAGTCTAGTTGTCTTCAATATTTGTTTTAAGATATTATATTGTGTGTTTTGGTTTATTTTTACTAGTGTTGTTATCATTTTGTGTATTTTTTAATGTTCAGGATGCATTGGTATAAAAAAGTACTGTAAGGCCTAAATACTCAGCTTAAAATTGTTTTTCATCAGAAAAAAATAGAAATGGCAGCACCAGCAATTGAATCATTCTGTAATTTTTAAACAAGTGGTTGAAGCCCTCTTCTAGTCTATACTAATATTTGTAATGTTTGTAAGTTTGTATGTAGGGGTAATCTCCAAAACTACCATCCAATTTCAAAAATTCTTTCACCAATATTTAGAATGGAACTTCAGGGTGGACATAGGCTGTATATTATTCTGTTAAACATTCATATAAATTAAAAGATATCATCTAGGGTTAAAGCTTTTATGTCCAATAGATGGCGCTACGAGTATGACGACCTAAGTTTGCTTTTCTGTGAGGATGAACTAAAGCAGATCATCTTCTATATATCTATATAAATGAAAATGTAATGTTCATTTGTTCCTACTGATTCCTTTCAAATTTTGACACAATGCTGCATTTGAATACGCTCATGTTTTTATATAATATACATGTTGAAATTTCCCCCACTGGGGGGAGATGGACAGGATGAAGGCTTACTGTGAAGAACTTGGCCTCTATTATACTACTTTAGTTGTGGGTTTTTTGCGTTTTTGATTGCGTTTTAATAGGGTACGTCGAAAATTCCCCCCACGGGGGGAAGTGTCATACATTTATAATAGATACATTTTGAGCCACAACAACGCATGGCGGGGTCTGCTAGTAAACTTATAAATAAATATTGTTTTTAAACATAAAACAATCACTAGTTCAGTGAACTGGTTGTTGAATTATTTGAATCCCACCACTGGTTTGACCTGTTGATATCCTAAATATTTGTAGACTTTGCTTTCATTCATGGATTCAATTATGTCTTTATTTCTGAGTACAAAATCATCTTCCTTCCAGATTGCTGTTTCTATATGATATTCTGAATTATCTAGGCCAAAATTCAGTTGAATGTCAGTGGAGTAAATGTAAAATCTAATAGTTGATGTAACTGTATTTGTATGAATGTATAGAGTTTTATGTCATCCATGAACTTTACATATGTATTTTGTTATGTTTCACATTGTATCCATATTTGATATTTAATCTATTGGACAATGTGTTCAAGGCCAGACAAAAGAAAAGTGGACTCAATGAATCTCCCTAGAAAATGCTTCACTTTGTGTTTTTGGTTTGTTTTGATATATCAATATGTGTTGAAAAGTTTATACCAACTGTGTGTTCTTTATATTGCATGTTGGATGTTCTGTGTGCTTATTTCAACACAGGACTTGAATGATGTCTCGTCATGTTTTCTTCTTCCTCTTTGATCCAGCTAGCTTCATTTTTGTATGGGACTGGATTGGACAAATGAGCAGACCAAGATGTCTGTGAGTTTTTTTTCTGTTGGCACAATATTGTGTTTTGATGGTGTGATGTGATATATAGTTATCTGTAAAAAATATCTCATTGTTTGTGAATAATTTATTTTCTTGTTTTAAATTTTTTATGCAAATTAATATTGTTTTATATGTTGTTATTTTATCATAATTAAGATATTTCTTTTAATTTTTTAGACAAGATAATATTCTTGAACAGTTTGAACAAAGACAAAAGCAAATGGAACAAGAAAATGCTAAGAGGAAATCACTTTTGACTAAAGCTATTGCTGATAGGTAATCCTTTCTGTTTTAATCTTGTTAATTTGCATGTATTTTTCTTATTTAATGATAGCTCTGAGATGATAAATTTATCACAAATGTATGTAAAACTTTATAGTAATGTTATTTTATAGTTTTATTTAAATATTGACCATATAATTTATATATTTATTTTACAATGAAAATAGAAGATATATGTTAAAAATTTCAATTCTCTTGTTAATCTTCTTACCATATTTTTTTAATTTTAAAGTATCTTTGATTGTATGATGCTAATTTGAGTAAACTGTATTAGTATATTACATAATGTACTGTATATGTATTTATTAATTGAATTAATAGCTAAACATTTTAATAAACTTTAGCCTCTATCCATCAGAACTTAAATCATAAAAGCCATTTAGAGGTATACATTAATTAAGACATTTTGATTAGCTTAGATGTAAACATCGATTATGGTAAGTTAGATTCTGCTTCATTTTGCTCTCTTGGTGAGACAATAAAATTTTATTTTGGACTTTAAAGTATGACACCATAATTTATAAACATAGCATATGTTCTCAGGATTATTAAGAATCTTCATTAGCATTTGGAAAGAGTTGTTTTTAAACTTTTTTTAGACTGTTTTATAGTAGGCAGAGAAACTTACCTTCCTATGTAAATATAGAAATCATCTTTGAATTCTTTTCTTGATTAAACACATTTTTTAGATATTTTCATTTCATGTCAGATCAAATCTTCAAATTTAGAATGTGGAACATTGTTTAATTCCTTTCTAATTAATTAAATTAATCAATTTAAGTAGTTATCTTTCAAATAACAACACAAATTTTCACATTGCCTTTAATTTTGTCTTACCTTTAACATGCAAATTAAGAAATCCTCTNTTTCTTTTATTTTTGTAATAATCAAATTAGTTGTTCTAATATGGCACTATTGCACTTACAGTAATTATATGACTACCGGCCTGCGTTTCACGTATGGGCAAGAATGATCCTCAATGGAGTCGGCTAATATGAATTAAATATGGAACATAACGTCCTATTCTGAATTATCATGAAGAGATCGCATTCAAATCCAGATTTCACACAGTTATTAGAAAATACCTTCCTACGTACAGTACTTGTTTGATCTATGTAATTACATATAAAGTATTAGTAGTTTGATTAACTACGACTAGTTTGACAAACCAAACATTATTATTTGTTGTAATAGTTTAGTTGTTGTTAAGTTATGGCAACGCAACACTTGGGCGATCTGCCTAGGGGATGACTTCCGGGAGGTCTGGTTTTAAGGGAAACTGGCCTCTATTTAGGCGTTAAAGCCACCTAGAGTAAACCTGGAAAACTCCACGTGGCCAAGCCCGTCCAAGCGAGGCGCGAACACACGACAAAACTCCCAGTGTTCAGGGAACAGAAGACCACTTGGCCACTGGTGGGCCTGTAATAGTTTAGATTTTTTAAAGGTAAGGATACACATGTATGGTACAGGGTGTTTCAATGTGGCTATCTATTTCGCGAAATAATAAAAAGCACTTTTCAGATATAATATATACAGTACATGGTTTTTCATAATTTATGCGCCATAGGAAATTGTGCAGAGAAGCATCAGGTGATTGAAGACAAAGCATCAGAGGCAGGTATATAATGTATTGGTTATGTAACATAATGCACCATTTCGGATCTGCATTACTGTCAAACAGAAATTAATTGCAAATTCATAGGTATAGTTGAACCACTTTCAACTAATTTAGGCCCAGCTGCATGGTCCTTTAACAATATGTTGTGATATTGAACTTGTTTATTTTTTAATACGTGATATATAGATGAATGATGATAGCAAGAATACGACATATTGCTGGTTTTTAATGTTATTTTAGTTTTATTTAAATAAAAATTAAACACTACAATAATAAAAAACTGGTAATGTTTTGTGTATTAAATAGAACAAGTTTAATTCTCACAATCTACCTAAATGAAATTCAATTTGAAATGAATATCTTATTCTCTCTCAGTTTATACGTAAAATTAAACAAGTTAAATATAAACCTCGATAAAATTTGTTATCTCTGTTAACATACTCAATGAGAAATACCAATAATATCCAATTACTTAGTGATGATATCGAAAGAAAAACTATTTACGCAAAATATTTGGGATTATATACAATATTGACCAAAGTTTAATATGACACATGTTGATTATCTTGATAAACCATTTTAAAAATTTGTTGGTCTAATGATTTATCGTTTAAAACATAAAGAATCCATACTTTTGTACCGTTCTATATAACCGATTAATACAGGTTATTTATCAAATATTGTTTTTACATTAATAGGTGTGCTTTTGTCATATTTCTATGTGATACGAGAGAAACACGATTTAACGTTTTTTCAAAGAATCGATGAAAAAATACGTTAAATCGACGAATACGTAAAAGCCGAACATCCTTAAAAACGTGCCAAAACATACAAATACATGTGTATGTGCATTAAGAATGGATATAGTGAAGAAAAACAATTATGCCAGTACAAATGCTCGGACCGGATGCAAGGCCGGATGACCGAGCGGTCAAGATGGCAACTCATCGCTCTGGGGGACCCTGGATCGAATCCGGACGGGTCAAATAATCCCAGGAATTTTTCGAGGGGTGGTCCGTTTGGATATGTCGGGCCCTCTGCCTCTTAACACAACGACTATCAATACTACAAGCAGATCATCGCTTCTCTACATACATTTGTGTTTGCTGACTGTAAGAAATATGTAAGCTTCATCATCTTCCTCTGTTTTGGGGTTTAAAGTGATGGAATTGTTACAATTACTAGCTGTGTGGACTTTGTTTGTTTTTTTTTTACTTGTATGCATATTATATATGGACTCATGGGATTCTCAAATCTTTGTCTTACAAATTTTCTGCACGGGATAAATGCTGTTAAACACTTATTGTCAGAATTACTGTATTTACTGCGATCTTCTTTTGCGAAAATATTCCTGCAGATAAGTAATCTGTTATATGCTGCAGCATGCTGCTGCATATTTTGTTCGGGTCTTTTATTGTCATTGTGTTTTTATTTATTTATTTTTTATTTTTCTTTTCACTTTGTTTTGTTTATTAGTGCATACTGTAACTCGGTGGAACTATGTAATGGATATGCTCCTGTAATGCTCACTGCAGGGCAGGACTTTGTACCTTGTTTTAAATGTACAATTAAACTAATGAATGAACGAATGAATGTATTCTTAATATAATTACTGTTATATTGAGTTTATTTACTTTCTATGCATTATTTAGCTTAAATAAAGTAGTCTAAAACTCAGTTTTTGAGGTTACTATAAGTGATTTTTTTTACATAATTTAATGCTCACTGTTAATTAGCAATAACTTCAGACTGGAAAAAGAATTGTATATGATTTTATAACAATTATAAATTCTGATATAAATATTTTGTACTTTAAATTATGAACATTGTCAATATTGAATTGTTTTACTTGATGAATTTTGATACTTTTATATAATTTTAGTAATTTTTTTAACATTTTAAATTTCTTTATTTTTATTGAATACTGATTAAATTTCCAAAAAATAAAATGCTTTGAACTAATAAAAACTTAATTTGAAATATTATTTTAAGGGCTTTCTTTGATTTATACTTTAATAAACAAAATCCAAATTATTTTAACATTTCAGCTGGTGCTATGAAAGCTCTCAATGGAAAAGGAATTGTACATAGAGATTTGAAACCTCAGAATATTCTTTTGTGTCATTCAGGCAAACCAAACCCTCCTCCCTCAGATATAACTTTAAAAATTGCTGATTTTGGTTTTGCTAGATTTTTGCAAGATGGTGTTATGGCTGCTACTTTATGTGGATCACCAATGTATATGGTATAGTAAAATTATTTTTATTTGATTATTATTAATTTATTTGTTATAAAAAAATTTTAAATGAGTGATTTGGAGCTGAAATCTAATATAAATCATCATTTATAACATAACAGTTTAAAAAATCACTTTTAAATTAACATATCTGATTGATTTAATATATTTGAAAGTGATAAATATTTAATTAAAGAGAAAATAGTATTAAAATTTATATATAGGTGATGTTTTCCTTTTATTCAGTTTTATTAATGTTCATTGACTGATTTAGTTTAATTACAAGAATGATGAATTAATAAAAAATAATTTCAATAAATTTTTCAATATTTTACAAATTTATTACAAAATTTCCTTATGTACTATATAATAAATTTGTGCTTTTGTATAATTTAAGATTACTTTGACAACCCTTGAAGAACCTTTATGTCTGATAACAAAAACGTTTAATAAGTTGTCCAACAAATGCTTTCGATCATACTCAAGGTCTGCATCAGATTAGAGTACAATCGAATTCTAAAATTGGAATGCTTGGAACAGAACATTTTTAAAACGTTAAATTTAAAAACCTTTGTAACATAAAAAACCAACCGAAACTTAACAGTTGCAAAGGTGTGAAATCCAAAAAGATACACATAAGACAACTCATGTGTACCTATTATTTGTGGGTCTGATGTAACAGTAAATAGTATACATTTAATGTGTGTTAGTGGCACCCTGTTTTTCACACAAGTAATGCCAGATGTACAATAATGAGTTACAGTCTTTAAAAGAACTTACTTGTGTGAAGAACAGTGTGCCACTAATGCACATTGAATGTTTACTATTTACTGTTATATTGGACCCATGAATAATAGGGACATATAGATTGCCTTATGTGTATATTTTTGTATTTTACACATTTGCAACCATTAAGTTTTGGACATAAAGGTTCTTTTAAGGGTTGTCATTAACACTGGTAGTCAAGTTGGAAGATATCTTTAAGAATAAGAATACTTTGTTCATACTTATTTTCACTATTTATACTATATAAATTCAATGCATTTCTTGTTCTTAAATAGAATTTATTTATAGATTTACAGTTGTAAATTTTCACTTTTGTTTTATTACATTAATGTTTTCTGTTTAATTTTTAGCTACTGATATAGTTACAAAGAATTTATGCATTTTTTTCGTGTTCTTATTATCATAAAAGATTTTCTAGGAATTAAAAATATGTAGATGATATTTTGAATTTCAGAATAATTAACTTATACATTTTGTAGTCTTTAAAAAATTATACATATTTTCAAGAAAGAAGAGCATTGTTTTTGCTCTTGTTAAAACAATTTAAAAATTTTTTTGTGTATTTTTATATGTTTTGATCGCTTTGTGAATTGATGCTGTTATTTATAAAACAAGAAAATATAAGCAGATATAAAGAAAAGTAACACACAGACTTGTTGACAACTCAGTTCTAATAATTCCAATTTATTTATTTATTTTTTCATTCTAATTTTTATATTATTAAAACAGTAGATCTGGCAATAATGATAATACAACATCCTTACTTTAAAAGTAAATACAGTAGAGCGTCGATTTTCCGAAAGTCAATCATCCGAAACGTCAATCATCCGAAAGAATTCCAGGCGGCAAATTTAAATTTTGCCAGTGCTGTGGCGCTTCAATCTTTGGCTATCAACGAAAATTCAACGCGAAGCGACACTCAACAGAGAAAAATTTCAACATCGGATAGGTTAAACTATTTTTTTGTACATAAATCGGTTATCCGAAATATCAGTTATACGAACAACCCCAGTCCCCAATTGATTCGGAAAATCGACGCTCTACTGTAT